ATTGGTCCGTTGGAGCCTATTTTGGCACTATAAAAAGGGGTGTTTGGGTCTGCTTTACACACCAATTCACTTCACAATATTCATATTATCATTGCATCCAAACCATATTATTTTCCATAGCTTTCTAGAGCCAATTTGTGTGAAGTTTGAGTTGTTCTTGAGCGTATATATTTTACTCATATCCACTCTTAAGGAGAGTCTTGTTCTTGAGTGTCTTAGTGTTGTATACACGTTAAGGGAAGCTTGTTTCCCTTGGTTGTACGAAGGAAAGGTATTTTCCTTCGGGTTGAAGTCTTGGAGTGCGGTATCTCCGAGCAAGTGTTGTTGAGGCTCGTGGGACTCGAGTTCTCAGGTTGTAACGGTTTGTTAAGCACCCGTAAGCTTAACGGAAGTAGTGTAGCTCGAGAGAGTCTCTCGGGAGACTGGATTAGCCACACGTTGTGGTGAACCAGTATAAATCTTGGTGTGCTCCCTTTACGCTTTCTACGCTCTTTATTTTTCACGTTCTTAATTTTTTATTCCTGCGATTTCTACGATCAAACGCTATTCACCCCCCCTCTAGCGTTGGTCACTTATTCTAACAGAGATATCTCACTCGTCTCTCCTATTGGCCTTTTTGCACTCGGTGTCGTATTCGCAGTGGGGCGTGTACTTGGTCCTGCCTCTTCAGCCTTCAGACTAGGCTTATAGTCGTCAACATCCTTTTTCGCCTTAGCCATTAGATCGTAAGCCTTAGAGAAGTCTGTAGTGGTTAGGGTGGATACATATGGCCGAATGTCGGGGCGCAGCCTCTTACGAAATTCTTCAATACGATCTGCCGGTGTGGATACCAGCGTAGTCGCAAACTGAGCTAGGTGATCGAACTTTTGTCGAAGCTCGGGGAGAGTCATGTCTCCTTGCTTCAGCTCCATGAACTCCGTGCGTTTCTCCTCTCTGAAGCGAGCTGGTATGTACTCCTTCTTGAATGCCCAATCAAAATGCTCCCATGTCCAAGGCTTAGGCGCTTTCTCATCTGCGCGCTTCCACCACTCGTACGCTCCCTTACGAAGGAGCTGGAAAGCAAGCTCGGGACATCTCGCGTCTGGAACACTCAGATTCTTCAACACTCTTTCTGTCTGTTCAATCCAATCGAGTGCGATCTGGGGATCAGAGAACCTATCCCCATGGAACTCTTCAGCACCATTGTCCCTCAGCGTTTTCAACGTGATTTGCCTGGGAGGCAGTGGAGGTGGTGGCTGGAACATTGGCGCGTTCGCCATTTGCTGCAGAAATTGCGTCAGGAACGCAGGCATAATCGGATCCTGTTGAGCCTCCACGTTTTGTTCCATGTTCTGGGTCTCGTTTTGGTTGTTTGAAGCTTCGCTCATTCTATATAGATCAAACTTTCCTAATTAAATGCTAACTCATAGTAAACAAATAGTCAACTTTTATTACCTTCCTGAGGCGGAGGAGTTGCGAGAGATGCGGCTGCTGCTGCTGCTGAAGTACCTTGCAACCAAATCAACATTTTTGTTTTGAAACATTTTTTTTTGAAATCCTTTTATTTTGAAAGAGTCCGAAGACCGGGTTTAAAACCAATTGCTCTGATACCAAAATGTAACACCCCAACCCGCGTGACCCGAATACAAGGTTCAGCGGATTGGGTTGCTACTAAATTGGCAGTCATACGCATTAATTTTCCAAAACAATTTAAAACATTTAATTCAAAACAATATTTAAATATTCATCAGAGTAAATAAAAACGGTGCGGAAGCCTTAAGTACTTAATCATAATACAACTTTAGGTCTCTTGCCCTTAAAAAATATAATAATTCAAACTTAAATATTAAATAATAAACTCCTCCAGCTAGCATCCATCCATCTCTTCGCCCTCGCTGCCTCCAAGATCGTCTCATTATTCATCGTTCCTGTTACCTACGTGTAGCAAATAGGAAAAAGGGCTACACGCTCAGCATTGAAGCTGAGTGGAATCTATCTAACGTTCGACTACGCACATAGACGAACCCACTAGCTCATAATTCCATACAATATCATGCACATAAGTACAACATAATAATATCACATAACAATACCAACAATTCACATAATATGTTACTTACCCTGCACCTGCAAATGTCACTATCCCAATATTCAAGTCATTACATTAACTCATATTCAACACTAGCTCATAACCTATTCTAGGCTAAGGCCAATCACTCATTATCCACATTCTTATCTTAGGACTTACAGCCACTACCTACGGCCATGACTCAAGGTCTATTCTATGACATCAGAACCACTACCTACGACCATGATTCTGGTCAACCCGGTACCTACAGCGCCGGTTGGGTGGAATCTCCAATCCTACGGATCAGATCCCAGATTCCATGTACGTACATCTTTACCCGGATGCCACTAGACTACGTCCACAAGGCTCTACACCTATTGTCAACTTACAATCTCAATTCTCACAAAGTAGTCCTAGAGTTCATCTAGGTAACCTATCTCATTAACTTACTTCAATTATACAGATCCACGCTAACAGCCACCTCAATTTACTTTATTCGTTAAAGGCATATCACACCACATTTACAACAAATCAAGAGAACAGAATTAACCAAATAAATCATCACGCAATCCAAATAGCGGCCTAATGTCGGGTGTAAACACCTTACATTTACCGTCATGCAACACATAAAGGCTCAAAGTCAATTCAGGTTCCAAATCGGGTCAAACAATTAAATAACAGAACTGCAACTACTGGTACGGTACCCGTCACGGTACCTCGGTACCGCCAAGCGGTACCTGGGTATCGTTAGTACGATACCGTCCGACCGTCTCATACATGTAGCGGCAGCAGCAGTGAACCGGAGGCGCGGTAGCTGGGTACCGTTTGGACGGTACCTGGCTACCGTCCGGCAGCAGGTGTGTACAGATTCAACAGATTCTATCCTATACCAACTTGTTTGATACATAAAACATTTTTAAAGATTATAATCATGCAATTCACACAATTTAGAGTAAAAATACGTACCTCGTCTTTCTCGTTCAATCAATTCCAATATCATCATAAAATATGAATAAATCATAATTCAATTATAAACAAATAAACCACGTAATCAATCATACGAAACTACGAACGTGAATTTCAAATCTATATACGAAATCTAGCGTTAGATGTGCAAGTTCTGACCTCGATTAATTGACGAATTAAATGAAACAAGTCAGCGAATCAAACGGTGGAGGAGTCTTGGTCTGCAGGGCAACTTCGGCTATGAGCCGGCGGCAACCCAGCGGCATCCGGCTTGTGGCGGCAGTAAGCTCCTTCAGCAAACGGCGGAGCAGCGGCGAATCAGCGGTCAACCTCTCCCTGTCCAGCAACCACAGCAGCAGGGATCGGCTCTCTTTTCTGATTGCAGGTACTGACTTTGTCTCTCACGCGGCAGAAACCAATGACTCCGTATTGATGTAATTATATATGGAGACGCAGCTTAGGTGTTGGCCAAGTCCAAATACAACAAGGAGTATTACCGTGCGTACCTTTCTTTTATATTATTATTATTATTATTATTATATTACTCCCTCCGTCCCCCATAGATCTTCCCAATAGCCCTTTTTCTTTGTCCACAATAGATCTTCTCATTTCATTTTTTAACAATTAAAATACCAAAACTACCCCCACTTACTTTATTTATTACACCTCATCCACCTCATTTAATACACTCCACCCATTTTTCATTAAGGGTATTATGGTAAACTTTCACCTTTTTTCAACTCTCCTTAAAAACCACCAAAAGTCAAAATGAGAACATTTTAGGGGGACGGAGGGAGTATTATAAATCTTTATATTTAATTATTGAACTGTAATGTCTATTTTACTCACCACGCTTTACACATAAATCCAAATTAAACAAATTATATACCGTTGGTCACCATTTCTCGTGATCTATCCGAAAACCCAATTTTTATTTAAAACGGATAACTTTACCAATAATTCATATTTTAGAGTAAATAAATAATATATTTATTTTTATTAAAATAACAGCTAACTACTAAGCCGGGTTTTGGGTTGTTACATTTCTCTCCCCCTTAAAAGAATTTCGTCCTCGAAATTCCTTAGTCCAAGGTCTACTCAAAACATATGCACATATAGTTCACACAGATAAGCACATAGGGAACACATAGCATTTAACTAATCGTTATCAAGATGAGTTTCGAAGTGTACCATCGTAAGCGTCGTTATTCTGGGGGTCTGCGCGTCCTATCATAGCGTATGTGCGGGCTGGAGCCCTCCCCACTTGCTGATTCTGATTCCTTGGCTGGTTTGACCCTGCGGTCGTACGTTGGCTCTGTGCCGGTTGCTGTGTAGTGGTTTGGTTACGCACCGACGCTGGTGGAAATGGCTCTCCTGGGTTCGTAGGATAGTTCTTACGAAAGTGTCCATCCTCTCCGCAGCCTAAGCATAGTCCTTGGGTGAGCCAGCACTCACCACGATGCGATCTCCCACATGTAGGGCACGGGGGAATCTTCGTAAGTTGGGTTTTGCTGCTTGAGGCAACCGAATGAGTCGGCACTAGCTGAGTATGCACTGACTTGCCTTTCTTCGCTTGAGATATCTCACTCGTCTCTCCTATTAGCCTTTTTGCACTCGGTGTCGTATTCGCAGTGGGGCGTGTACTTGGTCCTGCCTCTTCGGCCTTCAGACTAGCCTTATAGTCGTCAACATCCTTTTCTGCCTTAGCCATTAGATCGTAAGCCTTAGAGAAGTCTGTAGTGGTTAGGGTGGATACATATGGCTGAATGTCGGGGCGCAGCCTTTGGTCATCAGATTTGGTCATCAGCACCACACCTAGCTCCCGTGAAACCCAACAGTGTCCTATAATAGTCAATCTGTGAGGGTGCCTTCATAGGCTCCAAGATACCTAACAACACTGGAGTGTGCAGTTTCAGTAAAATTCGAAGCTTAGAAATGACATCCTGTGAGGTGATGCTCCTCACGTTCAAAACAAGGAACTGCATCATCATTGGGAACGCGAAGAAGTGGAACGGGTGACTCTGCGTGGAGCAGGAATCCCCGTCTTATGCTCTGTTGCTTTTCGGGCGTTCTTGGCCGTCTTTCCCTTAGTAGTCGGAGCCTCCCTTGCAGGGGAAAGGCCACGCGCTGCAAGATCCCGGGAAATGTCAGTAAGATCCTCAAAATGATCACCAGTGGACCCGTCACTAGTTTGTGAGCTACACTCGTCATCCTCCCTCCTTACCGAATTGGAAGGAATGGAAGATGTAACATTATTTAAACCGCAGACCTCATGACTGTCCCCAGGCATATCCCCCAAAGCATCAAACGTATTAGACATAGCAAGAACCAGCTCTGGAGGTTGAGGATCAGGAATATGTACAATAGGAGGAGAGGAAGAAGTAGAGAGAGGAAGAGGAACAACAATAGAGCCTTGCTCAACTCCGGTAGGAAGAACGGATGGCTCAACAGTCTGAGACGCTGACTGTTCAACCACAACAGGTGTGGGAGTAGTGGCGTTAACAGTAGAAGGGACTAAACTAACATCGGGGATAACAACATTCGGGGAGGGATGCGAGGAGGTGGGCACAAAGACCTGCAAGCTCGATGAGGGTCCCTCCCCCTTACCTAAACCATCGACATCCACGACCTCAATATGTCTGGATCCTTTCGCGGTCTTTTCTCTCTAAACATACTGTGACTCCTCCCGATGGGACCCACCTGCACCGGTACCTGCATCATCAATAGCAATACCTTTCCCCTCCCTTTGACGCCTGACCCGGCTCCTACTCCGCCTCCGTCGAGAAGGTTGGGTAGTCGTGGGTGCAGTCGTGGAAGGTTGGGGAACAACAACAACAGTCCGCTGTTCAGGCTGACTAGGAGTCAAAGTATTGCACGAAGAATTGTCGTGGCCTTGTTTAAAACAAGCCGTGCAGTACTTTGGAATGCGTTCATATTCCACAGGCTGGAACATGCCCACACCCTCCTCGCCAGGTGCATCAGAGAAACCAATCCATATCTGTTCAACCCTAGGATTCAACAAATCAATCTCCACCCTAGCCTTAGCCACATTGGGACGTGAGAAATTGGACGTAGCTACGTCCACTTTCAAACACCTCCCAATGGGCTTGCAAAGCTGGTGGATGGCACTCTCATTAAATAAATCCGCCCTCAAGTTTGGAAAAGTAACCCACACCGGTGCAACGGAAGATTCAGTTTTAACGTTGAATTCCGGAGACCACCTAAACAATCTCATAGGAAATTGTCCGTTAAACTGAATCTGCCCTTGCATAAATATATCATTACAATCTTGGGGATGGGTGAATAACAACATAACATGGCGTGGGTCACGATGACTAATCTGAACAGACTCCCTAAGAATAAACTGTGCAGCAAACAACTTCCTCAACGTAGCAATATCTGGACGTCCATGAGAAAATTTACCAATCAAAAGAAAATTATCCAGTTGAGAAAGTTGTTGCATTTCCGACTTCTTAAAAACAACAGCAGGCGTACCTCTATGAAAAGTGGGGACTTTCTCCTCAACAACGACATTGGATAAAATAGCACAAGGGCGGGAGACATTAGCCCGTAAGTAGATACCTGGGGTGGAGGGACCTGCTACGGCCTGTGCAAAAGATAGCTTGGGTGTGTTGGGTGGCCCTCCTGGCCATGCACCTTGAGAAGCCGTAGCTACTGCCGTACCATTGTGGGCAGAAGCCACTGCCACTGCCTTAGTAGCCATCGCCGTAGAGTTCACCGAGGGAACTGCCACTGGTTTTTGAGGAACCATGACGCGCTTTTCTTTTGGCTGGTCCAAAGTAGGGGCAAAGGACACCCCTTTTTCTCCACTTTGTCGTGCATGGGCCGTAGTAAACTGCAGCTGATGTGGTCCAGGGCCTAAAACATTTGTCATAGCAGTGGAGACCAAGGTAGCAGCTGCGTTAGAACCTTGAGTGGCAGCCCCATGTGCAAGCCGTGCCTCTTTGTCTTTGGGAAGCTCAAGATTGAGAGGTTGGAATAAATGGGGTTGGGTAATAGGGCGAAACACTTCATCAGTTGGAACCTCCCCATATGCAGTCCCATCCTGCTCCATTAATGCAAGTGTAACAGCCCCTTGCATATTGAGCTATTTATATTGAGAAAAGAATGAGAAAGGTACATGCATTATGGCAGTTTCATCACCCGAAAGGCCTTTAAGCTCAACACCATCAATTTCTTTCCAATTACAGTGAGTAAGAGTACTAAGAGGAACTTTAACCTTCAAAAAATCCCCCATTGTTGAAAGATTTCCCTTTGGGGCATTTTCCAGAACACCTGGTGCGCATGTAGCTATGGGGGCTGTGGAGCCCAAAGTATTGAAGCCCACGTTCATGGATGAGTTTAGGAGTATTAATGTGGACAAAGGGACTAGTGGAACACCTGGAGAAAGTTGTACCAATGGAGCAAACGATGAAGGTAACTGAGAAGCCAATAGGGCTGCCATAGAATCGCCGGAGATGGGTACATGGTCACCATGCATCAAAATTGGTGGGGAGGAGCTCGTTGTGCTCGCTGGGACCTGAGGAATCACCGAGGAGTGCTGCACGACGGCGAAATTGTGCGATAGATGAGAGAGAGGAGGAAACCCGACATGGAGACCCGCCATGGTCGCAGGGCTGGTGCTCTCTGATCCAGTGCTTATAGGAGCTAAAAATGGGCTCAATGAAGTCGCCTGAGAGAGGAGAGGAGCCTGGAATAGGTGGGAGGTGTCCTCATGGCCTGTTGACGCCGGAAAAAATGGTGGCACGGTGGTGCCGATCGCTGCACCAGTGGAGATGTTTCCAGCGTCTGTTTCCGGCATGTTTGGGCTTGATAGGATTGGCTGGATGTCTGTACTACCATGCAGGGACTGAAGCAGAGTAGACGGTTAGCTCGAGGCGAGATTGAACTCCGAGTCGGCAATGGTGCACCTGTTGCAGCTTTGGCAATCGGAACTTATAGTTTAGTCTTGCCTAGTGGTCTAATGTTGGAATTAAACGATTGCTTGTACGTTCCTGCGATTAGCAGAAACATTATTTCTGTTTCATGTCTTGATAAGAGTGGTTTCATCATTTCTATTAAAGACAAGTCCCTTTCCGTTTACAGAAAGAATGTTTTCTATGCTAATGCCAACATGACCAATGGGTTATATGTCCTTGACTTGGACATGCCTGTNTCTGTACTACCATGCAGGGACTGAAGCAGAGTAGACGGTTAGCTCGAGGCGAGATTGAACTCCGAGTCGGCAATGGTGCACCTGTTGCAGCTTTGGCAATCGGAACTTATAGTTTAGTCTTGCCTAGTGGTCTAATGTTGGAATTAAACGATTGCTTGTACGTTCCTGCGATTAGCAGAAACATTATTTCTGTTTCATGTCTTGATAAGAGTGGTTTCATCATTTCTATTAAAGACAAGTCCCTTTCCGTTTACAGAAAGAATGTTTTCTATGCTAATGCCAACATGACCAATGGGTTATATGTCCTTGACTTGGACATGCATGTCTATAACATATCAGCCAAGAGGAACAAACCAAACGGTTTGAACCAAACATACCTATGGCATTGTAGGTTAGGCCATATAAACGAGAAACGCATAAACGAGTCATTTGATCTTGAATCATATGACACATGTGAATCTTGTTTATTGGGTAAGATGACCAAATCTCCTTTCACCGGACACGGTGAAAGAGCTGGTGATCTTCTGGCACTCATTCATAGTGATGTGTGCGGGCCTTTCAATACAACTGCACGAGGTGGTTATTCATACTTCATTACATTTACTGATGACCTCAGTAGATATGACTATGTGTATCTCATGAAACACAAGTCAGAATCCTTTGAAATGTTCAAAGAATTCAGGAATGAAGTTGAAAAAGAACTTGGCAAAAGTATTAAAACACTACGATCCGATCGAGGTGGAGAATACTTAAGTGGTGAGTTCGATGACTATCTTAGAGAGCATGGGATTTTATCCCAACTCACACCTCCTAGGACTCTACAATGGAATGGTGTCTCTGAAAGGAGGAATCGAACCCTGCTTGACATGGTTCGTTCCATGATGGGTCATTCGACTCTACCAGAATCATTCTGGGGGTATGCGCTGAGCACTGCAATATATACTCTTAACCGAGTTCCAACCAAGGCTGTTGAAGGAACACCATACCAGCTATGGACGGGCAAATGCCCAGTTCTATCACACTTAAAGATTTGGGGCTGTGAGGCTTACGTCAAACGTCTTATGACGAATGGCAAGCTTGACGCCAAGTCTGATAAGTGTTTCTTCGTGGGATACCCCAAGGAAACTCGAGGGTATTCGTTCTATCACCCTATCGATAAGAAGGTATTCGTTGCTCGCAATGGTGTCTTCCTCAAGAAGGAATTTCTCTCCAACGCAACTAGTGGGAGAAAGATAGAGCTCGAAGAAATTCGAGACGACGAAGAAACTACCGCGCCAGTTCAGGAACATGAGCTAGAGGAACAAACTATTGTACCTCAAAATGCTCAAGATACACAAGAACCCCGTAGGTCTAACCGGTTACGCACACAACCTGAAAGGTATGGATTCCTCTTAACCTTTGAGGGTGACGTAATGCTTATCGACCAGGATGAGCCAGAGACCTACCTCGAGGCAATCAGTTGTCCCGAGGCTGAGGAATGGCATCAAGCCATGCAGTCTGAAATGGATTCCATGTACACCAACCAAGTATGGACTTTGGTTGATGCACCCGAAGGGATCAAACCCATTGGGTGCAAATGGGTCTTCAAAAAGAAGACTGACATGGATGGTAAGGTACAAACCTTCAAGGCACGATTGGTAGCAAAAGGATATCGTCAAATACATGGTATCGACTATGACGAAACTTTTTCTCCAGTTGTCATGATTAAATCCATTCGGATCTTACTTGCTATCGCAGCATACCACGATTACGAAATCTGGCAGATGGACGTCAAAATGGCTTTCCTTAATGGAAACCTTCTTGAGGATGTCTTTATGACACAACCTGAAAGGGTTTTGTGCTCCTGAAGAATCTACCAAGGTATGCAGGTTGCAGCGATCAATCTACGGATTGAAGCAAGCCTCACGGAGTTAGAACATCCGCTTTCACGAAACTGTCATCGGCTTTGGTTTTGAAAGAAATTCGGATGAATCTTGTGTATACAAAAAGGTCAGTGGGAGTGCTGTAGTCTTCCTTGCTCTGTATGTTCATGACATACTGCTTATAGGAAACGATATTCCTACTTTAACCACCGTCAAAACGTGGTTGAGTAAGAGTTTCTCTATGAAGGACTTGGGAGATGCCAGTTATGCACTTGGCATAAGGATCTATAGGGATAGATCACGGAAGCTGTTAGGTCTCAGTCAAAGTACATACATAGACAAGGTCCTCGCTAGATTCAGCATGTCTGAATCGAAACGAGGAAGTTTGCCTATNCTCATAGGAAACGATATTCCTACTTTAACCACCGTCAAAACGTGGTTGAGTAAGAGTTTCTCTATGAAGGACTTGGGAGATGCCAGTTATGCACTTGGCATAAGGATCTATAGGGATAGATCACGGAAGCTGTTAGGTCTCAGTCAAAGTACATACATAGACAAGGTCCTCGCTAGATTCAGCATGTCTGAATCGAAACGAGGAAGTTTGCCTATAGTCCAAGGCACGAGTCTTTCCAAGACTCAGGGTGCTTCCACTCCAGAGGTAGTAGAACGCATGAGAAATGTTCCTTATGCGTCGGCCATTGGATCCATCATGTATGCGATGGTATGTACGAGACCTGATGTCGCCTTTGCTCTGAGTGTCACGAGTAGATACCAGTCCAACCCTAGCGAAAGCCATTGGACGGCTGTGAAGAACATCCTTAAGTACTTTCGTAGGACTAAGGATGCCTTCCTGGTATATGGCGGAAAAGAAGAGCTCAGTATTGTCGGATATACTGATGCCAGCTTCTAGACTGATAGAGACGACTTCAAGTCGCAGGCAGGGTATTTGTTTTGTTTGAATGGCGGAGCTATTACCTGGAAGAGTTACAAGCAAGATACTACCGCTGATTCCACTACAGAAGTAGAGTACATGGCTACAGCTTAGGCAGCCAAGGAAGGTGTGTGGCTCAAGAATTTTATTACTGAGCTTGGAGTGGTTCCTAGCATCAAGAACCCTATACCGTTGTTTTGCGACAACAATGGGGCAATTGCACAAGAGAAAGAACCTTGGTCTCACAAAAAGACCAAACACATCGTTAGACGTTATCACATCATACGAGAAATCGTTGCACGTGGGGACGTTGAGATTTGCAAGATAGGTACAAATGACAATATCGCGGATCCGTTGACGAAGGCTTTGGGAAAGCCTAACCACGAGAGTCATACGTGGTCCATGGGCATTCGAGAAATGCTTGATTGGCCTTAGGGCAAGTGGGAGATTGTTGTATTTAGGTGCCCTAGCGGCAATCAAATACCTATGTAACTGTACACTTTATCATGAATGAAAGGCCTTGAAGTATGTTTTATATCTCGTGTAAAATAACATAGCTTCAGTCCATAGACGATAGCGCTTCAGTAACATAGATGAGGACTACGGTGTTCTGATTATGAGACTGTTACTTCTTGACGAAGGCTATGTCTAGAATATCCCTAGTCGCACTTTATGATAATACAGACGTCATAACGTATCAAGACTAGTACGTACGAGATGAGATAGTTGCGTCTCATAGACTATAGATATTGTGATATCTTAATCTGTACGTAGGTGCATATTATATCGATAATATGTGACTTGATTGACCCATCTTGAGAATACTGCATGGATGTACAGTAATGTGTTTATCAGTATTCTCAAATCGACCTTGCTATAACTATCCTTAGACTTGAAGTTATTACATTCTCTGATATGTGGGGCCGTATGCTTTGATTCATAACTAATACTATCTGAAATACTGGTAGAGGTACAGTTATGCGTTGGGTATGCCGCTAAGCATATTTAGAAATGTGAATAACAGATACAGGATCTGTCCCTTCTACTGTATAGAAGTATAATGTCAATGGGCCCACTGAATAGTAGGACTTGGGAAAGTGCATGGCCATGCCCAGATATGTCGCTATCTAGAGTTTGATAAATATCTGATCCCTACCAGGCTACTTGAGATTCAGTAACAGCTGATTTAACTATACAAGGATACACATCCCATGCCTTGTGTTAAATCATGACATTTAGGACAGAAGGATAATAGTTATAGAACGTCTTGTGTCGTAGAAGGTATTGATGAGATGAACGTCTTTTTCATAATCTGGGGGTAATAATGTGTTGCTAGATACCGCTTATTATCTATGGTATTAATTTTATTAATATCATTGCAGTGTTATGGATACCTAAAGGGTCACACACTTAGGACTTGTAAGGGAGTAGAATACTACACTAGTGGGAGTAATATTAAATATATAGTTGTGATAATTTTATACATATATATGTATTTCGAAAATACATATGTATTTTAAAATTATATTTTGTTTGTGTCATTTTAATTATATGATAATTATATTTTGACAAAACAAATTTTATTATATATATATATATTATTTTATTTTTCATCATTTTAATTATATGATAATTATTGATGTCAAAATAAAATGTAATGCATTTTAATATGAGATGGCCGAAATTTCAAAGGGAATGTACAAGACACAATTTGATTTTCTACCTAATGATATATTTGATTGATATAATCAAATATTTGATTAACAAAAGCATATTTGTCTTGTTGTGTTGGTTGGAGACATTGCACTAATCTTTATTTGTTTTTGTCCCTAATGAATTTCCTAGAAATTCTTTTAAAGTAGTGTTTTATAAATAAGATGTATCCCTCCCCATTTTTGCACTACAACTATTCGGCCATCACAAGGAAGAGAGAAGAAAATTCATATTTTGTGTTCCAAGTTATTTTTCTAAAGTGTTAGAAATATACACAAAATATTATAAAGAAATATTTATAAGATAAATATTGTTACTATATATTTATTACTCCCAAGGTAGTATTATTATAGTTTTACTATCCTATATTAAACTTGCTAGCACAAGTTTAATCTAGGACTCCAGAGCAAGTTCGTGTGGATACGTTGGAGGCTTCATACGTTTGGCGCTACGTTCATCTCCTCAAAACCATCCCCGACCGTTTCTCCGTTCTCTGTTTTTCACCGCTAAGGTAAATTTCTTACTATAGCTAGTAATTTACGTAAGTTGTTCTTTGGTGGAATCGAGTTTTGGATTCTAAATTTTTGTTTTCCGCTGCGTTATCCAAGCCTCGTTTCCCAACATCTGCCTCACAGCCAGAGGAGGCACTTATTACGCACTTCCTTGATAAAGTGGCCGGTTGATGATAGGGACAATCAACTGATCTCCACTCTACCCAATGAAGCAGATGTTTACAAAGCTATTATGAGTCTTAACCCAGACAGTGCAGCTGGCCTGGATGAATTTAATGGTTTTTTCTTTAGAACCTGCTGGAACATTATCAAGGTGGATGTCTTACTTGCTTGTCAGGAATTTTTCTTGGGATTTCCAGTTCCCAAGTCTTTTGGTAGAACTTTCATTACACTTATACCTAAAATTGAAGATCCTAAAAGATTTGGTGATTACAGACCCATATCCCTATCATCCTTCATGAGCAAAATTAATACCAAGATTCTGGCAACAAGATTGTCCACCCTTCTCCCAAAATTCATCTCAGAGGAGCAGGCAGGATTTCAAAAAAATAAGGGTGTTGAGGAACAGATTCTGTTGGCTGAAGAGATGGTTCATATGATTGATAAAGAGGTCAGAGGAGACAATTGCATAATCAAATTGGATATGGCCAAAGCCTTTGATAGAGTTGATTAGAGATATCTCATTAATATTCTCAGACAATTAGGGTTCAACCCTCACTCCCAAAAACTTCTTATGGCCAACCTAGTGGGTTCCTATCTTTCAGTTCTTATTAATGGATCACCTGCTGGCTTTTTTCAAATGAAGAGAGGGGTGAAACAAGGGGACCCTCTTTCACCCCTTCTATTTCTAATTAGCAGTGAGTGCTTTTCAAGGATGATCAAATTTCATATGAATACCTCCTCTCTGGGCAGTTTCAACACAGGTAACCATCCCTTGATCAGTCATTTGGCCTTTGCAGATGATCTAGTGATCTTTCTGAATGGGGACACTAGGAACTTAAAAAAGTTCAGAAGCATTTTAGAGGACTATCAGCAAGGGTCTGGGCAGCGAGTTTATCTCAACAAGAGTAGCTTTTACACAGGAAAAAAGGTCAACCAAACTAAATTAGGGTCTATGGCCAGAAGCCTAGGTATGGTTCTTGGGGTCCTACCATTCACCTATCTTGGTGCTACTATGATCAAAGGCAAGCTTAGAAAACATCATTGCTCCAAACTGCTGAACCACTTTGACAAATACCTAAACTCTTGGTATAGCACCACTCTTAATCCTATGGGGAGACTTGTGTTGATAAAACATGTGTTATCATCCATACCTCTTCATATCACTGTTGTTCATACTATCCCTCAATCCATCATTCAGACTCTCCACAAAAAGATGGCTAATTTCCTATGGGGATTCAAAAATGGTAAACCTAAATACCATTATATTGGAGCAAGTGGATCAACCTATGCGTTCAAACTAATGAAGGAGGTCTTACCCTAAGAAGTCTAGATGATATCCAGGATGCCTGCTCTATCAAGATTTGGTGGATAGTTCAAAGTGACAACACTATGTGGGCTAGGTTTATGAGAGCCAAATATCTTAGTCGGTCTGAATTCAAAGAAAGGCTTTATGATTCTCCAACCTGGAAGAGAATATGCAGGATCAATACAACTGCCAGGGAGCATAGCACAGGGGTAGGCAGCCAAATCTCCTGGGAAGATGGGGACTTTACACTTAAAAAGGCTTACAACATATGCAGACCCTATAATCCTACTCAACTCAACTACTCTTACTGCTGGAATAAGGCACAAATCCCAAAGGTTAAATTCTTCCTGTGGAGAGCTCTAAACTCTTATCTGCCTTTCCCAGCTAATCTAAGAAAAATGGGGTTTCACCTAGCCTCTGTCTGCCCCATCTGCAAGAACAATGAAGAATCCATATACCATGTTTTCCTCCAATGCCCTTGGAGCCTGAAAATATGGAAATTCTTTGCAGAGGCAGTTGATGGACCAGGACCTAGAAATTATCTAACCCTAAACCAACATATCATGGAATGGAACTTATCCCACAGAAAAAGGTCGCTTAAAGGACAACTTCGTAGCGTTCTACCAGGGATCATTGTTTGGCAAATTTGGAAGGAATACAACAGAATCATCCATGACAACAATCCAATTAACATCAACATGGTGAAAACACACATCTTACAAACCCTCAGAGATTGGAGTTGGAAAAATAGAAGGAAAAAATGGATGATCAGAGATGAACAACTTGCAGACCTGGGTTTCAATCTTTTCTTCTTGTCTGGGATGGAATTGAAAAATAGATCTAATCTGCTTCAGATTGAGACAGTAAGGACTGGAGATAGTTGGTGTAGAAGAGGGGAGGGGTTGCAGGTGTGAGCTTTTGGCTCATTAGACTTCTTTCTTGCATTTTCAATTTTGTTATTTACTTTCGGGGCTTGGGTCTAGTCCTCCCCGAACGTGTACTTTTTGTTTACCTTCGGGGCTTTTGGTCTAATCTTCCCTGAACGTGTACTTTAATTGTTTTTTGTTAATAATAATTGGTAAGGGTTGTCTGGACCTTACGACAACCCTTACCCCACTGATTTCAGTGGATTTTCGGGCTATATATATATATATATATATATATATATATATATATATATATATATATATATATATATATATATATATATATATATATATATATATATATATATATATATATATATATATATATATATATATATATATATATATAAAACTTGATAGCACCACTTAAAACGTTGGCAGACCTTTAATTGCCAGAATCTGTGTTGAAGTGGATATCTCACAGCCTCAAACCAACAAATTCTTCATTCTCAATGGAGAACAACCAGTGCTTTTAGAAGCGTTCTATGAAGAAGTTCCTCTTTTCTGTCCAAAATGCAAAGGGATCTCCAGGCATAAGGAATCCTGTAAACACTTCAAACATGCTGATTCCCAAACCAAAATTCAGGCCAGATCTCTTGACCGGAATATTCCCAAAGGATCAGGGAAGGAACCTGTGAAAAAACAATACCAACAGAAAACAGACAAAACCCCTGACCCTAGCACCTCACTTAGCCAAACTAGCCAAACCCTTCAGGACAAAAATCATCACAGTCTGCCAACCACTGATAACCCCCTCCAGGACCCCCAATCAGTCCCCCTCACTTCCCAATAAACCACTTCACAACAAACAAATAAACCAAAAACAGCTTCTCCTCCTGCCCACTCCCCCTTATCACCCATTTTACCTCAACCTTTAACCCATTCCCCTAGCCCACAAAATTCAAACACCCACAACCACAACCCAACCCAACCTTTAACCCATTCCCCTA